GACCTCCCGGGGGGGGGAGGGGGGGGGCTAAAAGAGGGTTGTGGGGAAATGCTGGTAGCTTAAAGTCAGGCGGGCCACAGCTGTGCCCAGGGCACTGAGCTAAGTACTGCAAGGTGTGGTGAGCCCGAGGTATTTGGAGCTCAAGCTATTAAAATGCAAGTAAATAACCGGGTTGGATGGTATTCCCCATGTGGCCTGGAGCGTCTTTCATTGAGGTATCTCAGAGTGCCATCCATAGACCAGCGCACAACACCTTGTGAGGCAAGTATGTTGTTATACCCATTTTACAGATGGGTAAATTTCAGCACAGGTAAATTGGGTGCCTCTCTTCCCTCTTCATAGTCATGCAGGCCATGAGTTGTAGGCAGAGCTGGACAAGGATCTGGTACTTCATTTGTAATGAAAGATGTGCAGGGGCTTAAGGAATTAGATTAATGGGCTCAAGATTTTTTTTTTTTTACTTTAACTGATGGGGCAAGGCCAGAGGTGCCAGGCCTTTGAACTCCCAAGCTTAGAAGTGCTGTGGCTCAGCCGGGGCAAACCCTGGTGCAAATTAAGCACTGCATAGATCCAAGTTGCCCTTCAGTTTCTTGCTCATATTACTACCAATATTTAACTGAGGAATCTATCTGATAACTGCTACTTATTTTCCTGTCTAAGAGGAAACTTTCTGACTAGGTGTTAGCCTGATAGGTCGTGTGCAAAAAAAAAAAAAAAGACATCCTGTTAATAACTAGGGAAGGATTGTGATACTAAATCATTCTAATGACCTTACTGATCTATTCTGTGTCTCTGGTAGCAGCCAAATTTAGATGTTTCAGAGGAAGGCTTAAACTCCCCATCATGCATCATTATACCACAAAAGAGGAAGCTTGTTCCTAACTTCATACACCTCCCTCTGAAGGTCTGCTTCTCAGCATCTCTCAGGGTTAAGTTAGGGGAAGAAAAAGACATGAGGGACTGAAAGCCACCAGACCTTCTTCCCCCCCTTCCCCACTCTCCTCCTTTTGGTCCATGGCACTTTTGGCCTCTGGTATAGGATACACTTACCAGATTTCAACAGATGATCCCTGCTGAATGCCCCATTAAAAAGCTGGAATTCACAGGAGTTGTTTGTGATGCTTAAATTAATTTTTGTAAATCACTTTGACCTCTCCTGCAGTTACGCTGCAGTGTAACCCAATAGATAATCTCTCTGACATGCTTGGGGGAGAGAATTTTCTTTTACCTTTGTCCAATGTCATTTTAAAAAAGATTCTGTTATTGTCAAATACTGAATTTTTCTATACTTGGATCTCTCCTTCACACCCACCCACATCCACAGCATCTAGCCTCATGCTATCTGCATGTTGGATAGCAACTGCAAGGAGTATGCACGTTCCTTAAAGGGTGGCTGCTCTCTGTCATATCGTGGTTTCATTTCCTTTCCCCCTTGACTTTATGGCCTTGCTTTCCTCCCATTCTCCTATTCTAGTTATTAAAAAGCAGTTCTTAAAAAGGACAGAAATAACTTTCAAGATTTTTCACAGCCTGTATTCTGACAGAATTATGTCCTACTTGTGTGATGCTTGCT